ACAAACACACTAATCAAGCACCCGAAATGTAGTTTTAATTTATATCTGGAGGAACAGAGAAACCAAAATTTATAAAATAGTAATAAAATGGCAATAATGTAGAGAAAGCATCTGTCAGGTTTAAACACATATATATGTATGAAACCATTAAAGAAAAATATGATCCCAGCACTAGAGTAAATAGACAGAATGGGAAGATGAGAAAGTCAAAGAGAATTCTCATCATACATAATGTTGAAGACATAAAGACAGTGTTACATAGAACTTGGAAATGGCCAGTTATTTCATTAGTGGTATTTAGGAAGTAATTGACAAATGGGACACTGTATATTTTACATGAAATTTTTGAAATGAAAATTTTAAAAATTATGTATAAAGAAGATGAAAAGTTAAATGATAACAGATTGGGTAAGAGAAGCCTTGCTAATATCAAGCAGAGAAAACCTGATACAAAAAGTATAGTGTCTATACTTAAGAATACAATATAGTCAGACTAGAAATAACACTGAAGCATTGCAGAAATGATGCAATAGATTAGATAGCTAAAAGATTAATAGTAATGAAATATGAAGACTTAAAAATTAAGTATATATTATATATATATAAAATTTAAGAACAAATGGGCAAGGGATAGGAATAATGTGCTAATAAGAGCAAAACAAGAAATGACCAATACTTATTAAAATCCTGCTTTTCTATTGATAAAAAGTGGAAGACAAAGTGTTATTATATTTAAATCATCAATTTGTCAATGATTAAAAATAATCACAATGTGTAGAATTTGTTCGTATATGAGAAAATAGGGCCTAACCTAATTTTCTAATGGTACTATAAATTGGCATAGTTTTTTTTGATAATACAGTCTGTCCACTATCTATCAAAAGCATTTGATCTAGTAATTTGACTCTAGAATGCATCCTACAGGAATGATTAGATATCTGGCAAAGCTGTATGAAAATCATGTACTTACAATCCTCAGCTGACATCATAATAGTGGAAGTTAGGAAGATAATTTGAAAGCACTGACTTTAATCTATTGATGTAGAAAAAAATGTATATCACATACTTAATGGAAAAAAATGGAAATGTATTCTATAATTGCATTTCTTATAAAAGAAATCTGTGAAAGAGAAAGTCTGAAGGGTATATAAAATAGCAGTGATTATTTCTGAGTAATATATTATGAACTTATTTTATTATTTCTTCATCTTATTTCTGCTTGTTTGTGCTTTCTAAGTTTCCCGCAATATGTGTTAATTGTGTGATAGAAGAAAATTATAAATCTCTTTGCAAATATATTTTACTATAATTATTGTAGCTATGATTAATATGGAAATTGAAAGAGTTTGCCCTTTTCTGTTCACACATTCCCTGGAATCCTATACTGATGAATTGAACTGCAGAAATTTCCGCTTTGATGATTGTTATCCACTTGATTATTCGATAAACAAAGGATGCTGAAAAATAATGAAGTAGGAAAGGCATGTGCTTTATATTCATTTACATCATTTTAAGTGCACCAGTCAGACCCCTCCAAACACTCAAACTTAGATTTTTATTTTTGGCAGCATGACCTCAGGCAAATCACTGATCCTTCTGATGCCTCATTTGAAATTCAGATTAAAAATATACAGCATGGCCACCTTATGGGGCTGTTTGAAGAACCAGGTGAAATGAAACCTCTGAAAAAATATTATAAGCCACTGAAGAGCTGGACAGATCAGATGAATTATTTTCTGTATTCTTCTCCATTGTCCTTTTCTTATCCATTACACATTTCTTGTGTTTTGCCTTTTTTTTTTTTTTTTGAAATGTCCTAAGCCTGATATCTTCAAAGGAAATGCATCTCAAAACCTGAGTGGACTAGCTCTTCATCTGCCCAAACAGCATCGTTCCTGATATTAATAGCCCAAGATGGACTTAAATGTTGGAGTCATCCAGCACTCTATGGTTTTGCTGTCCATTGAGTGGGCTTTGAAGCTCAGACTGTAGAATGGGGTAAGATAAAATAGGAGAAAAAGCTTCTGTGTATCAAGATGGCTTTTCTGCTTCTATTTCTAAAGATGCGGAATGCTTATGTTGAGTTTAGGCACACACAATAGGGATTATTTACATGGCGTAGTGGAAGTAAACAGTCAAGGAGAAAGTAACTTGATGCTTTTACTCAGCATGATAAAAACCATTATCTCATGTTTTCTATGGAAAACAGTCTCAGCCGAGAAATTTGGTAACTCAGTAGGCTATTAATAGGATGTGGAATGTGATTACTCCTTTTGGATTACTTCAATATGTAATTACTTTTAGGAGCTAGTAGCAAGAAACTCTATTAAATGATAATTATAGGACTGTATTTGCTTTAAGGTTCTGTAATAGCTCTAAACATGAGACTTTTCATTAACTGTTTGCCATAGTTAATAAAGTAATTTTTCTTAAAAAGTAGCAATTTCCTGTAAAAATGGTAGCTCAATATAGGATTAGTCTCTTACAGGAGAGGGCGAGGGAGATGGATTGTGCCTTTGGTTGACCCATCCACAGGAATATGATCTTGAAAATATAAATGATACCCATAGAGTACTGTGACAAAGCAAAATACCTATAGCTCCTTAGAGAACAGTGCCTTAGTATAATGTTTACTGAGGTTAACAGCCACTAAACACGATTGCATGTAGAAAAGGAAAAAAAATACAATAAATAAAAGACAGGACAGGTCATGCAGGTGAACTAACTGGGTAAAGCTTAGAAAAAGCCCACTCGTTGCAGGAGGTGTCCCCTGATAAACAGAAATATTGCTGGGAACAGAGAGCCAGGAATTAGACCTCAATTGTAAGCTGGGGATTACATCAATACACAGATAAAAATTTGACCGCAAATATTTGAGAAAGCAGATAATAAGAGTTGGGGGCATAACAAGCATGTGTGCTCACCAGGGTTTTCTGGACAACTGAGTAAATCCCCTCACTTCTGATAAAACTGAATATGTTATGAAATATAGTGGTCTAAATATTTCTTCATCAGAAAACTGACATAAGCCAAAGCTGTAGCAATAGAGCAATCTGCCAACTCAGGTGCAAATGGGAACTAATTTGGGAAGATAGAAAATTCTGAGTGGAGGCAGGGGCTCATGAACACATAGACAGATGCCTGCGTATCTTAGAGAGTCTTATGGAAACTTGATTTATGCCACTTGTCCAATTCAGATCACTACAGATGTACTAAATGCTCCCTGTGTGCCAGAGTCTCCCTGTTTTGGAGAAATTTATCATTGCAAAAGAAAATTCCTATATTACATGCATGCACCACCCAAAGCATGTATTCTCCTCCTTGAGAACCACCCTTCCACCTCAGGGCTCTGGAATTCTCTCTTGAAAGGGTTCACCTTCACATTAACCAAAGCCTCAAAGAAAACAATCCTACCTAAAGTACAAAATTAAAGACCGCCTAGTCATATTTCCATTTTGAAACGATGGGAATCATTTCTAAAGTGAATTACAGCCTGTTCTGTAAGGATTCTTTAAAGCACCTGTCTCTCCCTACAACTTCCTTCACACCTTGGGTCTCAAGAGCAAGTGCAATGCAGTGAGCAAGGCACTGGAGAGAAGAGTCGCTGTCATAACACCTGGGACGTTTTGCCTCACAGTCTCATTTGCTATCTGCTTGATTTATAAGGCCTATAATTAAATGCTCAAATCAGTTCGAGAAATAATAAAGTATGTCAAATCATATTCTCTCAAAATCCAAGTAGCACCGGGAACATTTCTCTACATTAATCACCAGCCCAGTAAGGTTAGGGCTGTAGCATCCAGCCTCTGAGTGTCTGGGTTTAAAACTCAGCTGTCTTCTATTTGGCGGATGGATTTGGGACAAAGTACTATCGTGGTTTACACATGGTTTCCTCATGCGTAACCTGGGAATGGTGATAATAATGCCTGACTATGGAATTAAGAAAAAGAAGCGAGCAGAACACAGGAAGGGATGTGGCATGGGGCTTAGAACACAGCTTCTATAATTATGGCACTGATGATAGCAATGACAGTAATAAGGAAGGTAATCCCAACCTATCCTATGGGTTTGAGTACCTGGATGCCTGTTCTTAGTCACTGGGAAAGCAATCAACCTGTCACCTTAGACATGGCTAGCTCAGGGCTGATGAGAATGGGATTGTCTTTTGTTCCCAAGCTGGCCTGTGTCTCCCTGTTTTCACACACCTGCCTTCTTGTGGGTTGATATGGAACGTTTTTTACCAAGGAAATGCTCAGAGCAAAACAGGGTGGCTGAGTCAAGAAGCTTATTCTTTGTTCCTGGCTCTGTCACCAACCTTGTCTAAGGACTGCATCATTCTGGGCCAATACAAAAATAAAACATAAAATTAAAAACTTAAAATAAAAAGTCTACTTCTAATAATCCGAAAGTCTAGAACCTCCTTGACTAATAAATTTAGTAGCATAAGTTGTATTAAATTTTGTCTTTTTTTTTTATTATTATTACAGACAGGATGTTTTGTGTCCTCCAGGCGAACATGCGGCAGTCACCTTTAGGTATCCAGCCACACTGCATTACCACTGTGTTCGTAGAGGAAGGCCTGTGCTTGAAAGATTATATTGCCTTACAAAGTTGAACTAATCTCCTTTAATGCTTTCCTTGATATCAATATTCATAAAGCTATGCTTCCCCAAAGGATTTATCAGCCTCTTAAAAAAAAAAAAAGATAAAGAGAATTGTTTGCATATTGACCCTGTAAGCTTCCCCACTTGGTTAGCCCACTGCTTCATGAATATCAAAGCCAATACAAAAAAAAAAAAATGGAAAATAAAATTAGACTCACTTATTCATATGCATCAAATGAGCCCATGTGTCAAAATACAGGTGGCACTATTATTTCTTGTTTGTTCTTCAACAGGAAAGCATTATTAAGATTAGTGAAAATATTTGTGCCGTCCAATATAAAAGTCATTTGTTTCCCATTTCTACTTTTCTAAATGCATAGGAACCTTAGTACAAACCTCTGTTGTCTCTGACTGTGAAATTTGGATTGTGAATGATTTCAGGGGGGAGGCTGAAGATAAATCTTGGTCCATTGGCTGTGTCATCCTTGTCATCTGCACTAATTGTAACAATTGGCTGAAAGAGAAAGGTGGCCCATAAATAAATCATGATGACATTGGCACATCATTTATTCAAAAACTCCTGGCTGGCTAAAAAGCCGGGTTGAAATTATAGAATATAGCTTCAGAGCAGCACTAGGTCTACGAACACTAGGTCCACTCCTTGAGCAGTGGGAGGTATCTCCAGGTGGTGCGTTCAGAAATGAACTCTATCTCCAAAGGCATTGCTGATGGCTGGGAAAGAGGAAAAATGGCCTTACCTGGTTGGAAAGTGGCTTGGTTTGATCACTTTCACAGATGAACCCTTCATAAGGGGCAGCAAACTTGGGAGCATTATCGTTGACATCAAGGACCCTAATGGCCACTGGAACTTTGGCTTCCTGATGCCGGTTGTCTGAAAGGAGAGAGAATGTAGATGATCAACAGATATCAGGTGGGGAAATGTTGGTCCACGCTTAATGTGGGGAAAGAATAAGCTGAAGCCATCCTTTTGGGCAGTTCAGAGAAAGGCATTGTTGACACAAAACCAATCCAGAAGCTGAAACGTGCAAAATCAATGGAAAGAGGATGATGGGAAACCAATGCCGATATTCAAGCAATAAGACCTAAACCACCTTTCCAATTTAATTCTAATGCTTTAATTCTAAAGTCTTATAATGGAGCCTGGTCTTCCCTGACAATAGTCTGCCCTGATGGCTATCAGTGTAGGGTCTCCAGAGCAGCATCAAAAGCAGGTAAGATTTTGTTGAAAATATACATTCTTGGGTCCCACTCCAGAGCTACTGAATCAGAGGCTCTAAGGATGGGGTTCAGAAATCTTTGTTATAATAAGCCATCCATAATCTACGAGTGAAGAGGGCTTGATGCATGATCAAGTTCAAGAACTACGGGTCTATATGTAAACAAAACCCCTCAAGTGTTGGCCATTGTATTGAGTTTAATATGATGATCATGATTTTTAAATTGCTGTGGGCTTGCCAAATCTGTACCCAAATCTGCCAAAGGAAAAAAAAAAAAAAGAAAGAACATCTCTATTTGTCTGTGTTTTCCTAGATAGATAACTGAAAATACATTTTAAAGAATATCTTCAACTAAAAAAAATGTCTATCTCAGCGATTTCATTTTCTAAAATATATAGAGAGTCAGGAGGATTAATATTTGGTAAAGTGAAATCGAAACTGTGAGGAGAATACTTACGGATTTCTGCTGCAAAGACAGAAATGTTGAGCCAGGCGGTTTCTTCTCTATCCAGAGGTTTGGTAGTTTTAATAAAACCATCCTCTGGATTAATAGTGAAAAATCTGTCGAGGTCAGTATGACGATCAATGGAATACCTAAGCAGAATGCAAATGAGGCAATTAGACCAAGACATTCGGAGCAGCTTAATATTTGAATATTTTCACTATGCTATACTTAAAGCAACTTTTTCACGAATTGCTCAAGCTAGGTTTTCTTTTTAATCAAATTTACTTTTTGAACTTTGTACATGAATCTTTTATAGAAATCATTTTGCCGCATTGGAATTCTTTATTCAGTACAATGAATGAAAGTGCTGTTTAGCATATTTGATTGAGAAGCATAATAACGTGTTGCATATTTCTACATATTTACTACAATCACCCACCATCTGAATATTTATGAAATTGCATTTGGGGAGCGAGTTTGCTTCATTCCCAACCTACTCAGAAAGTCACAAATGTATCAAACCTTTGCCAAATTTTTTCATATGAAATATTAAATCGTTTCAAGTTTATCTAAATTCACCATTAAAGATCATTTATAACCCTAAAACTCAGTTTTCTCCTTATTTAAAGAAAACTGCTATCTCTATTTTGAGTGAATCTCTTTAGTTTATTTAGTTGTGGAGATGGGTAAGCAGCTTGGTTCTGAATTTTAAGGTACAATATGCAAATAGGGTTTGGCCCTTTACCTGAGGGCATTCTGCTCACATGGTATTGACTGCACATTGTGCTGAACAGCAGGGCCAAAGGCTTTATCTACTTCTCTCCACTAGGACATTTTCTATTTTTCTAGCAAAAGGCAGACGAATTTCCAGAATATCATTGGGTCATATTTATGGCATGGTGAGATGAACAGTGGGAAAGAAGAGTAGCATTTATTAAGGTGAAGTGAGGTAAAAATAACTTGCCCAGGCTACTTGGAGTTGGCAAATATTGGAGCGTTGGTTTCCACGGGTCTATTCAACTCCAAAGCCCCTTCCTCCCACTCTATACTAACTCCAAAGTAGAAAAGAGGAAACAAGGGTTATGCTAAGTCAGATGCATCCTGTACTTCACAATTGGACACTTTCCTGCTCTTAGAATTATTAGTTGTGTTTTTCTAAAATTTGTAGAATAGGAATACTGAAAAGGCATCCGTTGATAGTCAAAAATCAAACTATATTACAGGTAGCAAAGTGCATGATATCAGACCATTTACTCTCCTAGATTTACAAAAGATGGGACTTGTAAATGGTTTATGTCTAGTTCTAGGGGAGTCAATATTAGAGCTTAAATCTTCCAATCCCAGATCGTGTTYTTTCCAGGAAGGAAGAATTACCCATCAGGCAACACTTCCTAGTTTTCAAAACATGAGCTCATCCATGATGACATTCGATTTCACAGCCTCCCATAAGAATGGAATGAGGATTCCCCTTCCTCAGTGATTTAACATAATTTGCCTGGTCACACATCTCACAGATATCAATAGGCGCTCAGTTACTGAGCTATCAGCAGGTAGCAAGCATCATTTTGAAAAATAATAGAAGACTAGTTTCCTGCTATGAGGGAGCTTATTGTTTAGTTGACATGACCTCACATGCACAGTAGAAGACAAAATTAATAAGTCTAGATATTGTTCTACAGAAGTTAAGGGAATGGACTTTGGTTTTGCAAAGTCCTATAGACAATGTATGCTCCACTACACCTAAGCTGTATGAAATGATATTAGAAAAGTTACTTAAAATCTTTGAACTCAGCATGTTTATCTTTTAAACTGAAATGTTAATAGTGCCTAGCCTTTATATTATGTAAGTATTAAATGAAATAATATTTAATATGCAATCTAGGTTCATATACAATAAGCAGTGTAACTAACAATAGCTCCTATTGTTTATGTTATTTCTGTAACTGTTCCACTGAGTATATATCATAAAAGCTCTCAGACTTAGGAAGGTGATCTTCATGCTATAGGCAATGAGAAATCTTGAAAGACGTTTGAGMGTGGAAACAAATAAATAAAATCAGGTTATTTAGGTCATTAATAAGGCAAGTTAGGAAGATGATCTGAGAAGGGGAGAGTGGAGAGAAGAGCAGAAAAAACTTAAGGATCTGATATAGTTTTTAAAGCAGACAGGCAAAGAGAGTTAGGTATTGAGATGTCAGAAAGAATGGAAAACTATGTGATGAGAAAGTACCAGTAGGACTCAGAGGATACTGAGACACTTGTGGGAGGTTGGGAGAGTCCTAGAGAGTTTCAAGACTGAGTATCTGAGAGAGAAACATATTGGACCACACAGAAAAAAAATAGTTAATTATCAAGGAGAGGTTGGCATTCAACTCAGGAGATGCATTTCTCTGCAATGCTAAGAAAGCAAAGATTCAACTCCATGGAAGGGTGAAGTGCAATTACCTCTTTTTGATTTTCAACTATGTCACAGCAAGTAGGAGCTCAAAAGTTATTTTGAATGAATAAGTGAATCGGCAAAGGAAAGAGCAAGTGGGTGAAAAAGCACAGCAGACAGTGTAATGAATGCAGAATTAGAGCCAGAGAGAAAGATCTGCCTAGAGGCAAAGAATCTGGAGCATCAACTCAATTCTGTCATAATGTGAGTGAAAACCCTACAGGTGAGAGGACATAGGGAAAGGTCAAAGTCAAAAAACTGAGCCTTGCTGGGCACAGYGGGCATGCCTGTGATCCCAGCAATAGAAAGGMGGAGGCAGGAGGATTGCAARTTCGAGGCCAGTGTCAGTAACTTAGTGAGGCCCTAAGCAACTTAGTGAGAACTTGTCTCAAAATAACAAAATAGGGGCTGGGGACGTGGCTCAAGTGGTAGCGCACTCACCTGGCATGCACAGGGCACTGGGTTCGATCCTCAGCACCACATAAAAATAAAATAAAGAAGTTGTGTCCACAGAAAACTAAAAAAAAAAAAAAATTAAAAAAATAATAAAAAATAACAAAATAAAAAGGGCTGGGAATATGGCTCAGTGGTTAAGTGCCTCTGAGTTCAATCCCTGGTATGAATGGATGGATGGATGGATGGATGAATGAATGAATGAATGAATGAATGAATGCTGAACCTGCCTAAAAGGCCTGAAAAATGATCGGAGACTAAAAATAATACAGGGTCTGGTGTTATCTGAGGCATGTGCTAGTGAGTGCCAAGGAAGCTAAGGGGAAAGAATATTTCAGAAACAAAAATGAAATGCTAAACAAAAAAAAATGTGTCTAATGCTCTAGGGTGTTAATAAAAAATTAGCAAAATTGTCCAAGCAGATAAGGGCCATAACTACATGTCCAAGGTCACAAATTCTCTTAATGATGAACAGAATGATTCAGGAAATTGGGTAGTGAGGATAAGAGGCCTATAGATTGAAAAGCTTATCTCCTAATTTGGCAGTTCTAAGAACAGGAACTCAAGTAGTGGGGAGGGGGATTGGCTCAAGTTCAATACTGAGCATCGATGGATAATTATAGACATGGAAATTGCCGACAGGCACAAAACAGCTACCATGGAAAACATGACCCAAATAGCCAATGGCAGATGTGGATCCTTGGAGTCAGTGAAGTGCAGAGGAAATGAGTAGCTGTTCCACATGCTTTTATATCAYTAATCTTCTAAAAAGTTGCTAATGCACCTCAATATTCTAGGTCAAAGACAACTAATTCAAAATTCATGCCATGAACATTTTTAAAGTAGTTCAAAGGTGTTACAAGTGTCTCTAGATATTATATAATGTATATTTCTGCACCAAAAAAAAAAAAAAGTCACACATTCTGGGGACATACCTCCTTCCATGGCCTACAGACTAAAATCAAAAGCTCAGAGAGAATATAAGGTTAATCTGGATGAAAATCTGTTTTCTGACATTGGTGTGGAACTTCAAGAAGTCACATCATTTCTTTGCCCCAAATCACCATCTATTGACTCCTAGAACAGTCACACTCAAAGAGTGTTTGCAAGGATTTCATAAATAACTTAATGAAACATATTGTCAGGGTGCTAAGAAAATCCTCTACAAATGGTAATTCTCTTTTTCTTATTCAAATATCCAACACATAGGAATWTCTTCTGCCTTGCCACCAATTTCCTTGATATAAATGGAAAATCCCCATTGCATATAGTAATTTTCATATTTGGATTTCTCTATTTTTGCTTTTTATTGCTATAACTGTGTCATATATATTTAAAAATATTCACCTATAATAAATTATATATTGTATATATAACAATTATATATATATATAAAATACATATATATATATATATATAGGTGCAATGATGTTTTAATTAATGTATAAATGGTGCCATGATTAACTCAGTGTTATTAGCATATTGAACACATTAAACACTTATCATTTCTTTGTGGTGAGAAGATTCAAAATGCTCTCCCCTTACCACAAATAGACAATACATTATTGCTAGCTATAGTCACATACCATGTGGTAGAGCACTAGGCTGTCTTCCAACTAGACCATTGTATCTGTTGGCCAACCTCTCCCCAAATTTCCTGCACTTCTATTCTCCCCAGGTTCTGATAAACACCATGCTATTCTCAACTTCTGTGAGATGAACTTTTTTAGATTCTACAATTTCTCTTCTTTCAMTTTGCTGATTTTCCTTAACAAAATATCCTGCAGGTTCATTGAAGTCACAAATGCATATGAAAAAATTTCATGCTTTTGTATGACTGAACGATATTCCATTGTGTATATGTGTGTATGGATATATGCATATACCTAGTCCTTAACCAAAGTGATCATTATAAGTGCACATCCAAATATCATGTTTGCATTTCCTTTATATATATATACATTTTCTGTTTTCTTTATCCATTCATCTGTTGATGGGCATTTAGACTATTTAGACTGCTTCCACATCCTGGCTACTGTGAATATTGCTGCAATAAATGCACTAGTGCAGATGTCTCTTCCACCTACTGCTTTCTTTTCCTTTGGATATATTTAATGGTGGAATCACTGAATCATGGTAGTTTTACTTTTAATGTTTTTAAGAGCCTAGATTATGGTTTTCCATCAAGGGTATACTAATCAAAATTCCTCCCAATGGTGCATAGGAATTCCCCTTTCTCTACATCCTTGTTAGCATTAGTTATTTTTTGTTGTTGTTGTTGTTGTTGTTGTTTGTTTGTTTGTTTGACAATAGCTCTTAGGGTGAGATAAAATCTCATTGCATTTTTTATTTGCATTTCCTTGATGATTAATGATGCTGAGCATTTTTTGCAGTTACACATCTTCACAAGGAAATGCCAGTTGCATTTTTTTAAAAAGATATGTCCTCTCCCACCCCTGATGTGTGCTATTAATGAAGGTGTGCTGAATAAATGTCTGAAGCAGATGTCATCATTTCCATACATTTTACACTAAAAAAAATGAACTTGAATTTATAAGCCAAATTGGGTGTTGTTTAGTTTATTAATTTAATAAATATTTATTTTAGACATCTGCCTCTGATGTGTAATGTCCTTAGTGGAAGGAGGCAGTGATGAACTAGAATGGGTTCAGCAAACAGCTCACATTAAGAGCTAGCTAGTAAATAATTTAGGCTGTGCCGGATGTAGGGTCTCTGTCAAAACTACCCAACTCTGCACTTGTAGCATAAAAGCAGCTACAATAATATATAAATGAATGGTTTGATTGTCTTCCCAGAAAACTTTATTTACAAAAACAAGTGGTGAGAACAAAGTCGAAGGATTCATATTTCTTAATTTCAAAATGCACTAAAAATGCTATTGTAGTCAAAACTATGAGGGACTCACATAGCAACAGACATATAGCTGAATGGAATAAATTTGAGGCCAGAAATAAAACAATACACCTATGGTCAATTTTCAGCCAGGGTCCAAGGCCATTCAATAGAGAACAATCTTTGCACAAATGGTGCTGAGACAATTAATATTCATATACAAAGTAATTAAGTTGATTTTCTCCCTCACAACATAAAAAGACTCATTCAAAGTAGATCAATGACCTAAGATGAAAGAGGTAAAAACCATAAAATTTCTTAAAGGAAAATATCAGTGTAAAAACGCATGATCTTAAATTAGGCAATAATTTCTTAAATATAACACCTAATAGCAGAAACAAAGAAAAAAATGGACTTCATCAAAATAAAAGGTTTTGTGCCTCAGAGGAGACTATCAAGAAAGTGAAAAGATAGAACAAAATCCTAGCATTTTCAGGAAAATGAATGGAACTTGAGAGCATCATGTTAAGCAAAATAAGCCAGACCCAGAAAGTCAAGGGTTGAATGTTTACTTTTATGTGTGGGAAATGGAGAAAAAAAGAAAGGAGAAGAAGCAGGGGGGATCTTATGAAAATAGATGGAAACCAGTAGAGGAAGAGAATCAGGGGGTGAGGGGAGTAGAGGGGAAAGGAGAAATACTGTAGAATAAAATTTCCCAAATTATGCTGTGTGCACATATATTATGCACTGCTGTGTATAATTATCATGCACCAGTAAAAAAAGAAAGTGAAAAGAGAAAACATGGAGTGAGAGAAAATATTTGCAAGCCATATTTCCGATAAGTATCTTATGCCCAGAATATATAAAGAACTTCTAGAATTCAGCAAGAAAAAGACAGATCACCAATTACAGAATCGAGAAAGGATTTGAATACAGATTTTTGTTTTCCCAAGGAGATATAAAAATGACCAATCAGCACCTAGAGAGATGCTCAACATCCATAGTTGTTAGAGAAAAACAAAAGAAAACTCTAGTGATGTATCTTTTTCATACCCACTAAGATAGCTGTCATCATAAGAGACAAGCATTAATTTCTGATGAGAATTCAGGAAAATCAGAACCCTCATACACTGTGGTTATGGTGTAAAATGTTACAGCCATTGTAGAAAACTGGCAGTTTCTCAGAAAGTTATTAGAGTTACTCTATGACCCAGCTATTCTACTTCTAGGTATATACCAAGAAAAAAGACGTATATACATATATGCAAATACACACACACACATACACACACACACACACACATTCTTATCAGATATATAACTTGCAAACGTTTTATCTCATTCCATGAGTTTTTTTCCACTTTTTTTATTTGTGCATTTTAATTATACATAGCAGTGGGCTTCATTCCCATTCATACATGCACATAACATAATTTGGTCAATTTCATTCCCCAATATCCACTCTTTCCCTCTCCTCCCTCCTCCTGGTTGCATTCCTTTAATCTACTGGTCTCCTTTCTAGTCCCGTGAGATCCTCCAATTTTCCTTTTATCTTTTCCTTTTTTTCTCTCTATAACATAAAATGTACATAGCAACATTATAACAGCCAAAGGTGAAAAACACCCATATGTTCATCCAAATGACATAGTTAAAATACAGTTTAGTCCTACAAGAAAATATTTTTTAGTAATAAAAGAAAATTAAATAAATATGCATTCTCCAACAAGACTGAACCTCAAATCAAGTAAACAGGAAAAATGTATTTATGTAAGACCACATATTGTATTACTCCATTTATCTGAAATGACCAGAATAGTAAAACATACCAAATAGATTTGTGATTACTGAGGGCTAGAGGTTTTAGGGAGTGATGGAAATGTTCTGGATTTAGTGCTGATGGTTGAACTATCTTGTAAAATATACACAAGACCAAGAACTGTACACTCTGAAAGGGTGAATCGTATGTTTCATAATATACAAATTTCCAGGAAGCAAGGAAGAAAAGAACAATGACAGTGGTCAGATTCATCCTGTAGGCTCTAGTCCATCACCCCCTGAACCAGATAGACATGTAACCAGCACTCTTTGTTGTCATTGGTCAACACACAACCATAGATGTCACCATTATGTAGCAGATGTGACCATGATATGAAATCAAAGCTACCAGGCAGGGCTGCTAGTCTATCTCTAGGGATCCCTGGAAGTATTGTTAGAAGACGTGACACCTAAATGGATATGCACAAAATGAGCACAATGTAATGACTTAGAAAGACAGTTCAACTAGCAGGAAGAACAGGTAAATAATGGGCATGGGGAGAGAGCAGAAGTGCTTCAGAGAATGGCACTGCGGTGAGGGCATTTGAAGAAGATCTATAAACCTAGTAAAAGAGTCTAGATTATTTCAGAGAGGGGCTGCATTGTGGAACAATTCCGTCACTGACATTTTGTTGGAGGTATGGTGTGATAAAATAAAAGAAAATTAAATAAATATGCATTTACTTATAATATGCATGTACTTATAATGATCACTCTGGCTACAGGACTGATGATAGAATAATGGCTGGGAAATGGGAGGCAGGGAGACAGTGAAGAGTCTGATGAAGGAATCTAGGCAAGAAAGAAATTGGAGGATCAGCCTTGGGGTGGAGAAACATGCTAGAATCTTGTCCCAGAAAGGTTTCAGGCAACTGTAAGTAAGTTTCCACAAAGTAAATGTCTTAATCCATGGCTCAAGTCCCTTCTTAGCCCCATTCCTATTCCTCTCTCATCCTTATCATCAGCCTCACCACATGGGATTGGGGAAGCAGGATACTTTTGTTTTCTAAGTAACCCACATGTACTCATTATGATAAAAACATGCTAATGGTATTTGGCCCATCGTTAGTTGTTCAAGGAGCTCAGCCGCCATCCCACAGAATTTCCTTCCCTACCCTCTTGCTCACAAATGGTATCATGCTGGGCCAGTCGCTACATCTCACAGAGTTTCAATTTTCTCTCCATTTAAGAGGGAACAATTCATGTAACAATAAAGTTAAGGGACGATTCAGATCATATTTCAAACACACCTACTAGAGTAACTGGAGCAGAGAAAGATATTCAATAAATTATAATTACTATAATTATTTCATAATCACTATTTATACTTTATCAGATTTCATTAATGTAGACAGGATAAGCTGGTGGTTATATCAGGTTATATCATTTAGTATACATTTGGAAATCTGCTCCAGAGAGAAATTATATCACTTGAATAGACCTATCCAAAAAGTTAGTAGCTGAGGTGAAGGGATGCTCATGACTTCTAAATCTCAATCTTGTTTAAATTTTATTAAAGGTTAAAATCTGGACACTGCTGGAATGGAATAGTGTGTGTTGTGGTTTAGATGTGGTATCACTCAAAAGCTCCCACGTGAGACAATGCAAGAAGATTCAGAGGAGAAATGATTGGGTTGTGAAAACCTTGACCCAATTCAGTGATTTAATCCCTTGACAGGGATTAACTGAGTGGTAATTGAAGTGGTAGGGGGTGACTGGAGGAGGTGGGATTTGGGGTGTGGCTTTGGGGTAAATATTTGTATCTGGCGAATGGAGTCTCTGCCTCTGCTTTCTGATCACTGTGATGTGAGCTGCTTTCTTCTTTCAAATTCTCCAGTTGTGATGTCCTGCCTCTCCTCGAGCCCTGAGGAATGGAGCCCTCTATGGACCTCTGAAACTGTGAGTTCTAAATTTTCCTCCTCTACAATTGTGCTGGTTGGGTCTTGAAATCACTCAGCGAGAAAGTTGACCAAAACAGTGTGGTTCCCCCAAACTTCTTTCCAGCAAATTCCCCATATAATCTTTTAAAATAAATACATCTTTACCTTATTGGGCTGTTGGCAGCATCCGGATCTTTGGCATGCACTCTCCCAACCACCGTGCCAGCGGCTGCATTTTCTTGGACTTCGTGGATATAACTTGGGGCCAAGAACATCGGGGGTTCATCAGCATCTTCTACCGCAATCTTGACCGTCACAGTGTCCTTGAAAGGTCCGTTGCTGATGAACTTTGGGTCGATGTGCACATTGGCTGCCTCTACCTTCAAGCTATATGCTCTCTTGGTTTCAAAATCTACGGGCTGGCAAGAATGAAGAGAAGATTGACAACCAATTCTTTTAAAGAATAATGGAAGAGAAAGAGCTGATTGTTTTATAGGGCAAAGTAAATAGTTCCTCAAAGAGAGAAAATCAGTGTCTATTCAATATCCAATTACCTGTGCCATGTGATCAGTAAATCAGACAAATCAATTGCTGAAATGTTGAATGGATAATTCAAAGAGATGGACAGACATGGAAATACCATGCCTTCTAACAGGAACCTCATCCTGTATAGCAACACTATGGTTGTCCAAATCTGTCATTCAAAGCCACCAGAAGAAGGGAATTAAGACAGGAAAAAAATAAAATTTGTAGTCCATTTTATAAAGTAATAAAAATCTTGGTAATAAAAATGCTCCCTGAAATTGAGCCAGTGTGATGAAATAATGTGACGTTCCTTTCAAGTGCCACACCACAAACACTAGACATCGAGCTTAAACATAATTGACAACCTCATGTTTTAGGTTTCTGATCAGATTGTTTTTCCAAAAGCCTGAAACCCTTAAGGTAGTCCCCAAAATGTTACTTCAGGTAGTTTATGGATAACCTGGGAAGGTGGTATCAATAATTAACTTATTGATACAATTATTCTTTTTCCAATTCATTGAATCCTGAACATCTCAAAATAATGCTAACGTAGCTATTGCATTTCCCAATGTCCCTTGGGGGAGTGTATGGTGCAACTCTCTAACTAAACTCTAAGGATATAATTTTGTTTTGATTGCATTCATTTTTAGGTGGCCTTCTATTAATGGTAAGTGACAAGACAATGAAGATAGTGCTTCCCTTTGAAGAAATGTATATGTATGATAAATGCCTATTTAAAGACAAAATAAGTATAAGCACTACAGATGTTTTATACAGATATGAAGAAACTGAAAAGTAGCATTTGAATTAACAGAAAACACTTCTTAATTTTGAATGAGGAAGTAAAATGAATCAGTCAACAAAGGGTAAGAAGAAAAATCATGGCAAAAGAAGCAAGGTTCCATGCCTAGAAAACAACTCCTCAGCACTCTAGATGATGATGAACTACCAAATGTTTGGAGAAAGTTGAACTTTTAAGGCTAGCATATCAATCACATGGTTGTCATTTGCTTGGCAAACACTTATTTTGAATGGGCATACAGGCTTGGAGCTTAGTCCCGCCCACTTCTGCACAACTCCAAACCAAGGAGGATTCAGGAAGGTCATACACATTCGACATCCCCGGCGCTTCTTCTATCATCTTCCCACCTACATCTCGGCTCTCAGGGAACACTTCCTTTTCCTGCAGCTAAATCTGTCCCCAGCCTCTCCATCATCCTGGGTGGGACCCAGCAGCTATTTTATCCTTGGCTATGCTCCTGAGAAGCAGAAATAAATGATATTTATAGGCTAACGATATGAGATTGTTGCGGTTTCTCACAAATCTCTGTACTTCCTAGACAGAATCAAGAACTAGGATATGATAGTTCTGAGACCAGGTAATTTGCAATCAGAAAAGGTGACATTTTGTCTCAGATCGATGACTAATGCCCCTAGAGCAGAACCTATTGAACTTGTGTGTAGGCCTATAGCTAAGGACCCAAACGTATGTTCCCAATGGAAACAGGTTTTCTGTAGTTAACCATTAGATCCTGACACAGAGTCAGAACTCAAGAAACATTTTTTAAAATTTTTAATCTATTAAGAAATGAATTATGTATCTGTCGATATTAAGAAGACTATGGAGATGCTAGGGTCTCACTGATACATTTTAATCATATCAACCCAAGCTTGATATGATTAAAAGGACAGTCAGGTCTTTTTTCCAATTTTGCCCAGAAGGTCTTTTCCCAGGTTGGTGAGATTCTACTGGGACTTCTGGAAGTCAGAACAAGCCCCATTGCTTTTCGACAAGCACAGGCATATTTGTATGGTCTCAGCTGCCATTCAGTAGCTCTCACTGCCTTCTCAGTTAGCACAGGGGCATTCCAAAGGAATCTATGGAGACTGGCTGATCTTTGCTGCTCCAAAGCCCAAGAATGGCTGTACCAGGGGATGATATGCATCAACTGTTTTGACTGAATGAAGAGTAGAGCTGATAAATGCATAAAATTTAAGAATATATTTACAGTTTATTCCCTTCCTCCTTCCAAAAAGGATTTGAGGTAGTTTCCCATGTGAACATTTATATCCATGTTATGAGTAGTTGAAATAAAGCTAAATGAGGCGACACACTGCATAAGCCATACAAATCTTAATACCCCCTAGTTTACTAATCCCCACCTCTGAACATTCTCCCCGAGGGATTAATTCAACAGAAAAACCAAACAAATAATATTCAAAAATGCATAATATTTGTGAGATATAACAGAGGGTTATATCTAATCTGGGGGAAATGTACACACAAAACACCAAATCCAACTGTGAGATTTTATTAAGGAAATAATGGTCCATCAATAGGATGGGATGTTATGTAGTCATTAAAAATGATTATGTATATTATATAACAGCATGTAAAATGTTTATGATGTGGCATTAAGTTAACAAATCATATCACCCTACGATTTCAACCATGCTAAATGTTATGGATCCACATCTAAATACATGTGGCCAAAGCACATAAAGAAAAAAATCAGATGTAAAAAATAGTTTCATTTAAATAAAGAGTAGTTAAGATGTCTTATAAAGATGCTTTCATTCTGCTTCAGAAGTTTATTTGGTTGAAAACAAACAGCTCAGAAACTACTGGGATTTCTCTGCATTTGATAGGATTCCCATTTGGTCAAGGTATTGCAGTGAACAGATTGGATTTTGCCCCCCACCCCAGCCCGATGACTGCAACAGCACCTAAAAGACTCATTTTTATTTTACACAGGTCTTTAAGCTAAGCATAGAGATCGGCTAAATACCCCGAGAGCAGGTTTTCTGTAGTTAACCATTAAATCCTGACACAGAACTTAAGAAATATTTTTTTTAATTTTTAATCTATTAAAAAATGAATTAATGTATTTATTAATCATTTCTTGAATTCTTCCCCTTCACTACCAGCCCACTACCTTTTCTGTTTCATTTTTTTTTTCTTTTTATAATGCCCTTGAATTCCAACAAACATTTCTCATTTGGTCCCACTGTACCTGTCTCTCTAACACCAAATGCATCGCAGCCTCTTAACCATGTCCTGTTTTCATTGAAACCAGTCCTTCATGAGCTCTCTTTTTTGCCTTTTCTCTCTTTATCTGTCTGGAAAAATCCTATTCAGTTATCAAGACTCAACTCAAGAATTGCTTTTCTTTGAAGTCATTTGAAATTGCAGTTGATTTTCAACTGGGGAAAGATTTTGCTCTCAGTCACTCCAGGGATATTTGCAATGTGTAGAGCTATTTTTTTTGTTGTTGTTGTTATCATCCCTGTTGGGGTGAAGTGGAGTGTGTACTTACTGACCTCTAGTGAGGAGAAGCCCAGGTTCTCCCGACATCCTATAGTGCACAGAAGAGCCCCTTACAACAAAGGATTACCCAGCCTGAAATGTCAATACTGCCAAGGCTGAGAAAACCCCTTCTATTTTGATTATCTTCTCACTGAATTGTCCTGTTCAACTGTGACACCCCCACCCCCACCCCTGTGGCCAGGACTCTATCTCTTCTATTTTAGGTTTCTAGCTTTCCCCAAATCCCTGACTGGTAAATAATATAAACTCTATGACTCTTGGTGGAAGAATATATTAAGAAATGAATTAAAATACTGTAATAAAGAATATCCTTAAAATGCAAAAATGTCCCCATGAGCTCTTCATACTCTTTTATTAAATTGTATATGATGACTTCCACAAGGACCTACAGTTTTACTGTGTTAAATTAACCTTTGATTTTTTTTTTTCTTTCTGGTGAACATTTGAAATGTTGCGCTACAAGTTAAACCAAATGTTCCTTTACATTGTTTTAAACTTAAACATCATTGTTTCAGAGAAGAGTATTTCATTTACTGAAATGAATATAGGAATAAGGGGAGTGCACAAATTAATCATCTGTAGCGAGCTCATTTGCCATGTGTGAGATCCACAGGGGTGATTTAAATGTTTTAAAATTTTAGAGACATGGTGTGTGTTTATGCCCAGAATACACTAAAAAACAGGTGACAACCTTAGCATAACCAGCTATCCAATTACTCAAGCAAAGGATGGAATGTTCATGTTAGTGTCAAGCAGGAGGAACAGTAATATTAATTAACAAAGTAAGTTGACGGCTTGAGGCGACACACACAATTGACACAGCTACTATTCAAAAGTAGAAAAAAAAAAGGAATATCCCATTCCTTTGGGGCTGATAATTAGTCTTCCTCAATAATACCATTCATCATCATTCATGTAGACTTTTCCAACTATCCAGGGCTCACTCCACTTCCTTATACCCCAATTTCTTTCACTCTTTCAGGACAATCACCTTTTCCTTTCTCTTTCTTCTGCATCCCTTATTTTCCCCAAACCCAACATACTTTCCAATGTCACGAAAAAACAGCTTTCCGGAACACACTACTTCTTGTTCCCCCAGCTGAAAGATTTCTCCCAGAACATGTCTTCTGCCACCCCACATTTGTCTTCTCTTCTCTCCAGCTACGGGCCCCCCCCTTTTTTTTTTTTGATTCTTCAAATTAATTTTTTTTTATCAGTGTTACAGTCCAATCTTTCCCTTTACACCAAGAAGTTTAATATTCATGCTACAAAACCAAGTAGAAAATGAACGCTTGATTAAAACCAAGGTAATCCCATCCTTCAATTCAGATTTAATGCTCCATACACTTTGATGATGGAGAGGTGTTGATTTCTCAAGTGGTAAATCAGGGGGCAGGAGAGGGGACCAKTTTAGAGTACACGGTGACTGACTGCTTGTTCACTTGAAAGTGAATCTTATCTGAACTTCCTTGATAAGCCCTTTCTGGCTGAATTATTTCCAACAGTGTCTGAAGAAGGAAGCTGTACTAACATAGGCTAGGCGTGAATTCCACATCTGTGGCTGTGTGACTGTCACCAGGTCAAATTATTTAATCCATCAGAGTCCCAGTCTCTAAAATCAAGTTGAACTCCCAATTTTTACCCCAAATGCAGATTGCAGAATCACGTCGGTTACACATCCACAATTTTACATAATGCCCTGTTAGTAACTGTTGTATTCTGCTACCTTTCCTATCCCCTACTATCCCCCCTCCCCTCCC